ATCTCATGTACTGAATCTCCAGCATCCAGCTGATATCTCATGTACTGAATCTCCAGCATCCAGCTGATACCTCATGTACTGAATCTCCAGCATCCAGCTGATATCTCATGTACTGAATCTCCAGCATCCAGCTGATATATGCTTTTACATACATCTAAGGAACAGAGAGTGTATCATACCAATGTCAGACCATGAAGTGTTCACAGGAGATTTGAGACCCTTTGTTGAATATTGCTACATGTTGTCAATAAATGCTTGTTTGAGGATAAGTTTTGAGATGACAAAGCACTGAAAAACTATAAGGTTATATAGAACTATAGCCTATATAAAGAATTTCCTTCTTATATATAAGGATGCCAAGATGTAGGAGCATGTGGATTGCTAATAGTTACTTCCTGATGTGATTTGTCACCTTGTTTTTTAACTTGAAGTGTAAAACAATGCTCTGAATTCCACCAGGTACACATTAGGTACACTAGCAAAATTTATTTCTCACTTTAGGAGACTTCAGGTGTAGCTGCTTTTCAAAGTGAATCCTTTAATTAAGTTTATTTTTTTGCCTTTTCCCTTTTTTTTTTTTTAACGTTTTCCATACTAATCACTCAGTCTGCACCACATAAGGAGATTGGCTTTAACAATTTCAGCTGTAGCTCCGTAGTTAAAAATTTGCGCTGCAATGAAAGGTACCAAGATTACGTTGCACTTTATTGGAGAAAATTAGCAACTAAAAGTTCTTGGTATTCTTCCTCCAAAACATTTTTAATCTCTGATCCCCACAGTGAGCCAGCAGAATCCAGCTGGTAATATCTCCAACTGCATGACCAATACACAAACAAATGTAACAATTAACCGTGCAATATGTGTAGCTATGGCTATGAACTTAACAACTTAATCTTTTTGAAAGCAGTTGACAAAATGTATGTGTGTCTGTATGGTTTTTTTTTTGTCCTTATGAACACTTTTCTGAAAGTTTCTTGTCAGTGGGTGGATAAAACCAATGAAAGTGTTAGTTTAATTTGTCTGAAAAAAATCTTGTTTGAAAACTGTTGGATCATATGATTAACTATCAGCTCCAACATTTCAATACAAATGCATATCAACGATAAGAAATTATAATTTTCAAGTTTATTTTAAGGCTGAAAATGAGTTTAAGTTTCAGTCTCAATGTTTGACACATCACAGATACACTACTGAAGTAACAGCATCTTAGTTACAATACCCTTCATCAGGAATCTTAGGCAACAAAGTACTTCACTGTGCTTGCCAAACTTTCAGAATATTCACATGGCATTCAGTCTGGTAAACAGGCAAAAAATACCAGACTGAAAACAAAATTATCAGACCAAATTTTAAAAAATAATTTTATTGACATGATGAATTGTATCTATTCCCTTGTGAATGCTAGGGCATTGTCCTAAGCCAATTCCTTGATCATAATTCCTCAAGGTAACAATCAAAGTCCATTTTGGTAGATCCTGTCTCAAACGTCATTTCAACCTTCTCATTGACTACATCCCCATAGCCAATGTCAGTAGGTGTTTGGATTTCTGCAGGGAGTTGTACATCTAGAGGGGTTGAGACTAGCTGAGGGGCTGTAGGGACTTCACTCTGCAGAGGGGCTGGGACTAACTGAGGGGCTGTAGGGACTTCACTCTGCAGAGGGGCTGGGACTAGCTGAGGGGCTGTAGGGACTTCACTCTGCAGAGGGGCTGGGACTAGCTGAAGGGCTGTAGGGATTAAAACTTTCGAGGGACAGGAGCTGTGTCCTCAACATAAATTTTCGAAGCTTTATTCAGGTCACATAGCCATTTGTAGTCCTCTAAAGGCCTGTTATTTTTTATTTTAGCGTGGGCATTGCAAAACAAATGTTAGCTTGCCTGTTTCCTTTTTGTTGAACTGTCTAAATGCCCTACCTGCACTTGTGGTTTCAAGTAGTTCCAACATGGATTTAGTTTTAGCCAATTTTGAGGTTGCTACATCTTGTATGTAACAAAGGTATTTTGTCCTTTCAATTATGTGTGACTGGGCTGCCCGCCATATCCATAAAATTTGGTACATACAAAACATGTCATCACCAACTTACTATCGTTAAAAAAACAGCCAATCGCATAGTATTTCGCCTGTTGATTTACAACAGAGGAATTCTTCTGTTTGTTGGTTTTTCCATGTAAAGCCCTATGAACATATTTTAGTTGAAACATTTTGAAATGATATCGGAAATAAAATCTAGATTTGGGCAATACTACACAATGAAATGGTTACTGGACCGATAATTCTTTTACCAGAATTGTCAAACGGTCAGATGTAGTTTGGCAAGCACGGACTCCATAACTTTCTACACAATAATCAATATTTCTAAATATGCATATTAAAATTGACTGTGACTGAAAGTCAGTAAAATGTTTAACCATGTCAGAGTGTATAAACAATGTTTAAGACTTCATATAGACTAAAATCTTCCTGTTCACTGAAATGCTTGGCCTTGAGCCTTTTTATTCTGCCAGGTTCAAAGAGTTCACAAGATAAAGATGTTTTGAATGTCAGAATCTCTAGTAGAAAACAATAAAGTATAAAGAAGCAACAGTTGGTTTATGGTGTCTGTGTAGTGGAGTTGGCCAATTGGAACATAAATAAAAGCTATAAACATTATCTAAAGATGAGAAATGCATTTGTAACTATCTACAAAAGTAAAAAAAAACAGATCCTTCATTACAGCTACATTGGATGCATCAGATATACAAGGAACAAGACGGGTTTCTGCTTCACATCATAAAGGTACAGGATGTATTTCATTTACATATCATGTAAAACTCAGCCACAATGTTTTCCGTAATCTCTAAAACAGGTAACATTTTATAGACTCTCCATATCCTTAGGCAATTTTTTATATTTTGTTAAATTTACACTTTTATACTGTTGTATTATTCAAAGTAATGACAACCTAAAAAATCAGTTTAATCATGTTGATGTATTATTCTATTCAGTGAAAATGAAACTATAATATCAGAAATGCCATCAACACATGAATTGTTTTTGAAGGTATCAGGATGTCATATGACATGTTACCTTCATTTTACAACATCAAAAATATGAAAATATTCATAAGATATTCAAGTGATACCAATCAAACGTGTTTTTAAGTTTATTTGGTTGACTAGTCACTTTCATATTGCTATGTAACTGACAATGAGTTTTGGTCAAGGGCAGATAATCAATATTTAACAATAAGTGATAATGTCGCCATAGTTTTGTTGTTATGGACATTGGGGAGAAAGGTATTTTACAATATAGGCAGGATATATTTTATACTTCAGTCAAGAATAGCTTAAAATTTGTCTTCACATGTGTATTCTAGTTTTGTTTTATTATTACAAACAAATATGACCCCTATAGAGAAATAATGTCCATTGTCAGACCCTTTAAGTACCATTAAAGATGCACTTTTCCAGTGCACTACACCATGACAATGATTTAAATACTGTCAAAACTCCAGTCATGTCTGTTTCCATGGCAACTAAAACATCAGCTGTTAGAGAACAACCTGCCTTTTTTAAACTGAATGGAAATATGTTTGTTGTGTAAAATGAATGTTCACACTGTGTAGACAGGCATGTGACAGGACATCAGGAAAACAAGCAATTCGGAGTTGATTTGGTCGATGTAATGGAATTCTGTATTTTAATTTACTCCCAAATGATTCTGTGGTGTCACTTGGAAGGTATGTACAAACAAGAAAATCTTTTCAATACGTCAGGAAACTGTAATCAGTCCTGAACAAATGATTTTAGTAAATGCCCATTTAACAAGTCTATATGTCTGTTTTTTGTTAGTTATTTTTTTGAGGGGGAGGAGATGGGGAGGGGAATGCATTACAACCATGTTATGGGCAACTTCTTCGGCTTTTGTCTCTTCTACTTTTTCTGTCCAACCACAGATACTATGGTCCATATAATGATATATATATACATATTCTTTACAGCAATTGAGAAACAAGCTATAAATCCATCTATGATCTGGCCCATGAAAAGATTTGTCAAAATATTCCTAATATACAATACCACTTATAAAACAAATATACTATTGTAAAGAAAAGAAACATATAATCATTTCTATATATGTGATAAGTAACAAAGGATAAAACCCCAGTGTTTTAGAAACCTGTAGGCCTGTTGTTTGAAGAGACTGAGCACGTTGTGTGTTGAAAGGTGTCAAGTTTTATGATGGCGTGGACACATAATATTACCTTTGTTACCCTCAGTTTTTGTTTTGATGACAAGTCAGAGAGTAAAATGATGGATAGGATTTAAAAGTACCTATGTACATAAAACTGCTATAATTTAAATAAAATTCAAACCTTAAATCTATATTTTAGTTTTTAACTTTAAAATGGGATTGTTTTTAAACAACAAGGACTATTAGCTGCAAGTTATGAGCTAATTATAAAAATTCTGTCTCTCACATGTCCACCTCCATGTCCTGTGCTCTTAAAATTTTAAGAAAATCTAGCAAAGACTGAAGACTAATGAGGCATGGGGTCAAAGGTTAATATCATATCTGACTAATCAAGGAAATGTTGTGCTGTATCATGTCTGAGCTCAACATTATATTTATATAGTAAGTAACCCTCAAATATCAGGGAAGTCCAAGGTCTACCACAGCACTTTCATCCAAGGTTAACAAAGATTCATAGTTCAAAGGTCAAATGTCAATCACCAGGAGATTGTGACAATATTCAACTTTAGAACCAAAGAAAATTGGGCTCTTTACAGTAGTATAGCAGGAAAAATCTGCTTTAATATTGTTGTCTGTAGGTTTATAATAAAAGTGAAATCTGGACATACGACATACAATATTCCACACATGCCTAATGCTAATAACACTGATCCATTAGCATTATGTAGAATGATACAAAACATTAATTACCTTTACATTAAATATATGTCTAACCTTGGAAGTCATAATCTTCTCTCTCAGTGTAGACTGTAAACCAGTGTACTTACATTTAACAGTGTATCAAAGATGACAAGTTTAGCACTGGTTGGAATAAGGTCGTAGCATTTGTGGGCCCTCATAAACTTTACAAATACCTGGTCCTCATTCTCATCTGAAATGATAAATCAATAAATATTTTGGATTAATTAATGAAAAAAATTGAATTAGTTACATGGATATGAAGGGTTAACAAGCAAAACTATATAGAGTACCTAGAGAAACTATCTGGTCTCACATCAATACCAGAACTACATAGAAACTATCTGGTCTCACATCAATACCAGAACTACATAGAAACTATCTGGTCTCACATCAATACCAGAACTACATAGAAACTATCTGGTCTCACATCAATACCAGAACTACATAGAAACTATCTGGTCTCACATCAATACCAGAACTACATAGAAACTATCTGGTCTCACATCAATACCAGAACTACATAGAAACTATCTGGTCTCACATCAATACCAGAACTACATAGAAACTATCTGGTCTCACATCAATACCAGAACTACATAGAAACTATCTGGTCTCCTGCCAATAATAGAACTACATAGAAATTTCCACGTCTCCAGTCAATATCAGCACTATAGATGAGCTATCATGTCTCCTATTAATACCTGCTATCAGGTCTCTCTCTTCAATAACATAACTATAGAGACAATGATGTCTGCCATCAACACCTAAGTACAATAACCCTGAAACTAATAATAAATACAACTCTATTGATTAGCCATAAAGACGAATCTTGATTTGAAGGTAGATGTAACTGTATATAATTCATTGTCACTCATTCTATTAACATTATCTAAAAACATTTAATGAAATGTCACATCACAGATTTTTGTAACTAAAGTATCCTTTTAAATCTAAACACCTTTATTTTGTTATTGTTGTTTTTTGTTTACAATTGACTCCACCGATCACCATCCACGACAAGAACATATATCCTGAGAGACCACCTGTCCTAGAATATCTTACCTAACAGACCAACTGTTCTAGACCATCTAACCTGACAGACCACCTGTCCTAGAACATCTAACCTGACAGACCACCTGTCCTAGAATATCTTACCTAACAGACCAACTGTTCTAGACCATCTAACCTAACAAACCACCTGTCCTAGAATATCTAACCTGACAGACCACCTGTCCTAGAACATCTAACCTGACAGACCACCTGTCCTAGAACATCTAACCTGACAGACCACCTGTCCTAGAACATTTAACCTGACAGACCACCTGTCCTTGAACATCTAACCTGACAGACCGCCTGTCCTAGAACATCTAACCTGACAGACCGCCTGTCCTAGAACATCTAACCTGAGAGACCACCTGTCCTAGAACATCTTACCTGACAGACCACCTGTCCTAGAACATCTAACCTAACAGACCACCTGTCCTAGAACATTTAACCTAACAGACCACCTGTCCTAGAATATCTTACCTAACAGACCACCTGCCCTAGAACATCTTACCTGAGAGACCACCTGTCCTAGAACATTTAACCTAACAGACCACCTGTCCTAGAACATCTAACCTAACAGACCACCTGTCCTAGAACATCTAACCTAACAGACCACCTGTCCTAGAACATCTTACCTGACAGACAAAATGTTTTGCTGAAAGTTATCTGTATCATATCTAAATGCTGCAGACAAATGTATTATTACAGAGGGTTACCTTTACAAGTTACCAAATTATCTCTTTGATCATTAAAAAAAATATAGATTTTAAACCCATTAACAGAAAACATTCCCATATCTAATGAAGCATTAACAGAACAGTCTCAGATCTAATGACCCATTAATAGGAGAACAGTCTCAGATCTAATGACCCATTAATAGGAGAACAGTCTCAGATCTAATGACCCATTAATAGGAGAACAGTCTCAGATCTAATGACCCATTAATAGGAGAACAGTCTCAGATCTAATGACCCATTAATAGGAGAACAGTTCCAGATCTTATAACCCATTAGTAGGAGAACAGGGAAGTCAGAAGTAATGCAGAGATACTGGTTTTCCAAGGAAGTTAGAACTTGTTTTGAGATACTAGTTTTCCAGGGAAGTTAGAACTTGTTTTGAGATGCTGGTTTTCCAGGGAAGTTAGAACTTGTTTTGAGATACTAGTTTTCCAGTTTTGAGATACTGGTTTTCCAGGGAAGTCGGTACCAGTTTTGAGATCCTGGTTTTCCAGGGAAGTTAGAACTTGTTTTGAGATACTAGTTTCCAGGGAAGTTAGAACTTGTTTTGAGATGCAGTTTTCCAGGAAAGTCGATACCAGTTTTGAGATACTAGTTTTCCAGGGAAGTCGATACCAGTTTTGAGATGCTGGTTTTCCAGGGAAGTCGGTACCAGTTTTGAGATCCTGGTTTTCCAGGGAAGTTAGAACTTGTTTTGAGATACTAGTTTTCCAGGGAAGTTAGAACTTGTTTTGAGATGCTGGTTTTCCAGGGAAGTTAGAACTTGTTTTGAGATACTAGTTTTCCAGGAAAGTTAGAACTTGTTTTGAGATACTAGTTTTCCAGGAAAGTTAGAACTTGTTTTGAGATACTAGTTTTCCAGGGAAGTTAGAACTTGTTTTGAGATGCTGGTTTTCCAAGGAAGTTAGAACTTGTTTTGAGATACTAGTTTTCCGGGGAAGTTAGAACTGGTTTTGAGATGCTGGTTTTCCAGGAAAGTTAGAACCTGTTTTGAGATGCTGGTTTTCCAGGGAAGTTAGAACTTGTTTTGAGATACTAGTTTCCAGGGAAGTTAGAACTTGTTTTGAGATGCAGTTTTCCAGGAAAGTCGATACCAGTTTTGAGATACTAGTTTTCCAGGGAAGTCGATACCAGTTTTCCAGGGAAGTCGGTACCAGTTTTGAGATCCTGGTTTTCCAGGGAAGTTAGAACTTGTTTTGAGATACTAGTTTTCCAGGGAAGTTAGAACTTGTTTTGAGATACTAGTTTTCCAGGAAAGTTAGAACTTGTTTTGAGATGCTGGTTTTCCAGGGAAGTTAGAACTTGTTTTGAGATACTAGTTTTCCAGGGAAGTTAGAACTTGTTTTGAGATACTAGTTTTCCAGGGAAGTTAGAACTTGTTTTGAGATACTAGTTTTCCAGGGAAGTTAGAACTTGTTTTGAGATACTAGTTTTCCAGGAAAGTTAGAACTTGTTTTGAGATACTAGTTTTCCTTGTTTTGAGGGAAGTTAGAACTTGTTTTGAGATACTAGTTTTCCAGGGAAGTTAGAACTTGTTTTGAGATTAGAACTGAGATGCTGGTTTTCCAGGGAAGTTAGAACTTGTTTTGAGATACTAGTTTTCCGGGGAAGTTAGAACTGGTTTTGAGATGCTGGTTTTCCAGGAAAGTTAGAACTTGTTTTGAGATACTAGTTTCCAGGGAAGTTAGAACTTGTTTTGAGATACTGGTTTTCCAGGGAAGTTACCAGTTTTGAGATGCTGGTTTTCCAGGGAAGTCGGTACCAGTTTTGAGATCCTGGTTTTCCAGGGAAGTTAGAACTTGTTTTGAGATACTAGTTTTCCAGGGAAGTTAGAACTTGTTTTGAGATGCTGGTTTTCCAGGGAAGTTAGAACTTGTTTTGAGATACTAGTTTTCCAGGAAAGTTAGAACTTGTTTTGAGATACTAGTTTTCCAGGGAAGTTAGAACTGGTTTTCCAGGGAAGTTAGAACTTGTTTTGAGATACTAGTTTTCCGGGGAAGTTAGAACTGGTTTTTAGATGCTGGTTTTCCAGGAAAGTTAGAACCTTTTTTGATATGCTGGTTTTCCAGGGAAGTTAGAACTTGTTTTGAGATGCAGTTTTCCAGGAAAGTCGATACCAGTTTTGAGATACTAGTTTTCCAGGGAAGTCGATACCAGTTTTGAGATCCTGGTTTTCCAGGGAAGTCGGTACCAGTTTTGAGATCCTGGTTTTCCAGGGAAGTTAGAACTTGTTTTGAGATACTAGTTTTCCAGGGAAGTTAGAACTTGTTTTGAGATACTAGTTTTCCAGGGAAGTTAGAACTTGTTTTGAGATGCTGGTTTTCCAGGGAAGTTAGAACTTGTTTTGAGATACTAGTTTTCCGGGGAAGTTAGAACTGGTTTTGAGATGCTGGTTTTCCAGGAAAGTTAGAACCTGTTTTAAGATGCTGGTTTTCCAGGGAAGTTAGAACTTGTTTTGAGATACTAGTTTTCCAGGAAAGTTAGAACCTGTTTTGAGATGCTGGTTTTCCAGGGAAGTCGATACTAGTTTTGAGATGCTGGTTTTCCAGGGAAGTTGGTAACAGTTTGGAGATGCTGGTTTTCCAGGAATGTTGGCTTTCTAGTTATTATACCATGAACTGTAAACTGATCAGTCAGGCCTTATCATATATGTTGTACAGGTATCATTTAAGGACATACCTGAGTTGACAGGTGAGAAGATAAAGTGAGCAAATGTCTAATTATAGCACTGATTTATTTTGGGCTTTTCCTTAAACACGATTCCACAGTGAGCATGCAGAGATGGATATAGGTCGTGAGACATAAAATCATGGTTCTTGAATTAATTAATCCTGATGTGATGAATAACACTGTCCTGATGATTGATCTACTTACAAATACTTCATCAACTTCTACATCTAAATAAAAAACAACATATAACATTTTTTTAAAGTTGTTTGGATTGGGACATTTTGCAAAAAAGTTGACTACACGAAAAGGAAATGTTCAGGAGTAAATTGCAAATTTTGTGAATTTGACATAAATATGAAATTATTTGAATTGTGAAATTGGCTCTGAAACCCCTAAAAAGTCCTGAATTATATCATTTCAAGAAAAGAACTGAATATTCCAATTTCTACTGAAATTATTGATGAAGTTTATACTCCCTGCCATCCCTGGCATATGGACTAGTTGCTTAGAAAATATGGAATAAAGGTCCAACACCTCAGAAAAACCTTTTTTGATGACTAACCAAAAACATAAAGAATATTGCAATTTCCCTTCAATACCTGCAGAGCTAGAGAGGTATGAGTTATGACCTAAGACCTATCTAACTATGGGTTGTGTGATCGATAACAAACCTATACCTAAAGTTGTCAAGTTAAACAGGTACTTACAGAGTTTGTAGATTTTATATATCAGAGTT